TAGGCACATATTACATTCATTAATTCTAGACAGAATCCAGTTAAATTAATTTTAAATAAATTTCTTAATGACATGGCAGAAATGCCTTAACTCCCTGCCATCATTAAACCCAGTTGCCTTATTTCCATATATTTTCCAAATTCTCTTCTCTCACTTCAGCACTTTTTTCCCTTATTGCAGTTCCTTCTTTTAGTCTAATAAACATTTTTTGAGGTTCTATAGCTGTTATTGATTTAGCATGAAAGCATGTGTTCAGAATCGTATCTGAAAAGATAAGAAGTTGAGTTTGTTGACCTTTAAAATGCTCTCAAGTGCAAAAGAGTTGGACTTGGCAGACTGAGTAGCTGAGTAGCTACTGGTCAGACCATTTACCTGTGAGGGCCAGTAATTGTGATGCATCTGCTGGGACAAAAGGTCTTTCTAATCAGAATCTATTACACAAGAGATGGAGATGGATTTGCTTTGTCATAGCATTGCTGCACTTGAATAAGCGAAATGGTTACATAAGCAGATTTCACTCCTGCCATTTGGCACATGCAATTAGTCTATGAAACAGACTTGAGCATGGGGAATTCAAGGTCTAGGTGTACCTAGAGGGAAAGTGAACAATTTTGATGAACAATTAGGTACAGTTTGCCCGTGTTAATGCGTTGCTTTCTTTTATTCATTGGTCACACTGCCTTCACATGTCTGAGCTGAACAAAGTGCTTGGTTTTCATGGTCCATATTAATCACTGCTTAGGTCATCTAAACAGTTACACACAGATAATGTAAGAAATTCTGGTAGTACTTTATTTGAAGCATTCCTACACTGGGCCTAAATCTCTTATAAAGCAATGCTGGAGATTTATTAAAGGCTTATGTCAAAACTCATGAGGGACCAGTAGGTGTTTTATGTAGCATGACTTTGCCTTTACCTAAAAAAAAAGAGAAGACAGAAGAAGCCTTAATTTTCATTAAAAGAAGTTTTAACTATTTTTACTATTTTTAAATGTTATCTTGCAAGTAAGTGGACAGTTGGTCTTTCACTAACAGCACATTCATGAAGCTTTGGGACATCTTATATATCTTATTTCTTTCTCATTCTTTTAGTTGACATATGGGCTTCTTAATAGGTGTTGTAGAAGGGATAAATACCGCTATATAAATTGTTTACCACTTCACTTTGAGAACATAAAGGCTTTTTAAATAAGTGAAGTTTTAAGAAGTGTAGTCCTTTTATGTAGGGACTCTTTACATAAGTTTCTCCTGTGAACTAAGACAAATTACAGGTTTATAGTAATGCATTCATTTGAATATTTTTTTTATGCTTGTATGGTGGACGAAAGGAATAAACAAAATGTGTAATTGTTAATGATTTTCTGCGAGGAGACTTTTTGGAAGGAGTCTCCAGTGTCAGTGCTTTGCAACAGTCAGCAGCAGAGCTTTTAACTGTTTATATCTGCTACAATGTAACTGATAACAGGAACTAACTTGTTTTGTGGACTCCACAACCATGAATGGAACTGAGCCACTGAGACATCCAGAGGTGACCTTCTAAAAGTAACACAATCTCTCAACTGGTGGTTGGGGTAAAGAAGCATAGCATGGCCTGATCTGTGGCTGTGATGCCAGGCCACTTATAAAGGCAATCACCCTACCAGAAGCACTGTCAACTCCATGTTCAGCAGTGCTAAACAAGAATTCAGAGGGTCTGGGTGCATGGCTAGAGCAAATCACCTAAGGCCAGTGGGTGAAAACTGCATTGGGACTCTATGGTTGGCTGTAGGCAGTGGGGAAACCAGCGGAGAGGAACAAGATAAACCAGCAGAAGCAGAATTGCCTGAGGGTTGACTCCAATTTGGCACTGAACTTGTACCCCACGTATGCTCTTGTTTGCAGTCCAGTATCCAGACTCAAACAATAGCCTTCTCCTTTTCTCCCTTCCCTTCACTACTATGCCTCATCACTATAAATAAAGTATTTGATTCAAACATGTTTTACAGGGTTTTTTTTTTTCCCATCACAAGACTATCTTAACAATTATCGAAAATCTTTTTTTTTTTTTTTTTTAGCTTACTACCTCATGTCCACATTTCCACAATTCATCAGCATCAACCCCATACAAAATAACCTTCCATCAAAATGCAGGCACATGTGGGCAAAAATAATATGAGTCAATGTCACTGTGTGCCATTATTCACAATGCCATCATGTCATTTTTCACAATACCCTCAAAGGTTGCAGAAATGTATAACTGAAGTTAAATATGCAAGACCTTGTGGCCTGGTCTGCTTCTTTCATAAGTGAAAGGCAGCCGCTTAGTTCCTCTTTATAACCAGCCTCTTGAACTGAGATTAATAGTAATAATAATAAAATGATAAATTAAAAATTATTATTTCATGATAATAAAAAGGTCCATGGATAGATTGGTTTGGAGGAAGGTCAAGACGACCATCTCTCACACACACATGGTCCACACTCTATTGTATCTGTGGATATAATATATTCAGGAGATGGTTGGCATGCTAAATTCCTGCATAATATAAAACTTCTCAATCTATAATATTAACCAAAGCAAGGATTTTTTTTTTCAGCTGGCTCTGAAATGATTTGAAACTGTAGTAAGTAAGAGAAATGTAATTCTTGTTACTCTGAAGCTTTCTGTGAGGAAAATGTAAATTTAACATTTATAGAAGAAGACTCCACGTCAGTGCTTTGAGGTAAATCTGCTCCTTTAACTTCCCTGTTGCAGGGAGAGTCTTTGTGGCATAACACAGTAACCTGTATTTTATTATTTTTTTTATCTTATTAAAAGACAGAGTGGAAAAAAGAGCCTGGTGAGGGAGCCTGTTTATAACTGCTAGAGTGTAGCAGGAACTAACTTGTCTTGTGTACATTCCACAACATTAAATGTAACTATAAATGGACAAAAAGTATGACCTATCTCTAATAAACAAGAGTGTAATGCTTAGCATTTTATTGTGGTATGAGAGAAATAAAACACTTTAGGACATTATAGGACATAGGTTATAATAGAAAAATAAAGTTTCATGTTACATAGATACTCCTGTTTCTATAGATAGATATTTAGTAGATCATCCATCAGCCAATCTGTAGTGCTATTACAATTTCAGATTTAGTTCACATGTACTCAGTAAAGACTTTTCATTCCATGTTTATGATGTGAAAGGTTTCATGTTGTTGAAAAATTGGTGATTTTTGTTGAAAAAATGGTGGATGCTATTTCACGGCATATCTAGATATGGTTTGTAATTTGTCTATAGTGGAATTTTCTATAAACAGCATAATGATGGTTAGAAGCAGAGCTTTTCCACTATAAGTTCATTTAAGGGAATAACATATGCAACTTATTTCCAGACATCTACTGAATTTTGGAGTGTATTTCAATTGCATACTGTAATTATGTTGGCTGAAACTCCATATTACCCCTGCTGATGTAATTACATCTAATCACAGTGTGTTACAGAACTTCTACTAGGCTTGACTGAAATGTGTTTTTCTTCAATCTCACACTAAGCTGTCCATTTCCGCATGGCTAATGCTACTAGCTGAGTGCACACTGTGCTTACACAATAGACAGCATAGACCTTTGCCCATGGCAAAATCCTCTTTCACTTTTATGTGTGTTTTGGAAGGTTACATCCTATGCTAGCATTGTCCAAATCTATTTGATTTGTGTTCATTAAGTAGGGAAGTTGGCCACGCCATCATTCTGCTGTCATGGGTGTTTTCTTCACTACTGAGGGTTGTTTTTTAATCACTCTTCTTTTACCTTCAGTCATCTGAGGAAAAGGAGAGTGAAAAAAAAACAATGTGTGCTGAGAGGCTCATTAGTCTGACCTGGCCTGTTTCACTCAGGGAAGAAAGAGAAAACTGACAGTTATCACATTGTTTATCTTTGCAGGTTGACTAGGCTGTCTGTGTAGATGCAGGGGTGTGAATACAGCCAGAATAATGTCAATAATGGATATCAGTGAGAGCGTTGTCTGTGTTTCTTGTTGCTTCTCTCATTTACCGTGAAAGAAAACAGGCAGACAAAAGTCAAGCTACCTTGTTCATGCTTATCATTTAATAACAGTATTAGGAGCTCTTCAGCTTTGCCTCTCATTTGAATTAAAATTAAAAATAAATAAATAAATATAGTAATAATAATAAAAATAAGTTAATAATGAATGATCATACTATATGTGTAACCTCCCTGCCAAAAATACAATTGGCTCACTTCCATAATGACCAACTGGTAACTAGTAATCATAGGGTACTCACGTTATCAATCATACATGCTCACACGTCCTGGATATGTGGAAAAGAAGTGAACTGATGTCATTTCTAAAGGTAGTAAGCAAAAGGAAGAACAAGATGTAAAAAAAAAACCCAAACAAAATTCAACCCTGTCCTGCAAGTTAGATGACTGCAAGTTAGATGAGTGCATTGTGGAGTAATTTGAATAATAAGTTAGATGAGTGCATTGTGGAGTAATTTGAATAATAAGTTAGATGACTGCATTGTGGAGTAATTTGAATAATTAGGCAAGCTAAGAAAGTTTTTTTTATTCTGATTGGTATCCATGTTATTATATTTGTCTTAAGTCATTTAAAGTGCATAATGTATGTTTAAGACTCAGTGTTCTGTGCAAAATGGTTGTTGTGAGGTTGAGCATATACTGTTAAAGCTGCAATCCCTCATTGATCCATGGTCATCATACCTATGCTATTAGCTCTAGGTCTATGACTGCATTCAATACAGATCTTGGAGCACTGTAGTGTCTGTATGGAGCTTTTCCCTCTCTTCCTTGGTGTTCAGCTACCTCAATCATGCTGTAATTGTAGTTGTAATTTTACAATAAAGAAGATTTTTTAAATTTTGTCACATATACATTATAGCACAGTGAAATCCTTCTCATCACCTATCTAAGCTTCTTAGGAAGCTGGGGTCAGACTTGATACAGCACCCCTGGAGCAGAGAGGGTTAAGGGCCTTCCTTAAGGGCCCAAACTTGGTGGTGGTGGGGTTCAAACCCCAACCTTCTGGGTTAATGGGTGTGCAGTAACCCAGAGCCTTAACCACTGAGCCACCACTATGTAGCCATAGGCTGTTGTTGTTGTTGTTTTCTAAGATATTGTTGTTTTTAAAACAGCTTTTTCCAAAGCAATTTTGTAAAAATACTTTAATACTATGATTAAGCCACACTGAGCCACATTTCTACACAACCTGTCTCTGAACATTTTTAGGCTATTTAGTTTCAGAAGTAAGTAGCATTAGGTTGCATTATGCCTAATTTCCCAAATGAGAATTGCAGTACATTAGAGCAATCACATTCACACCCATCAGATCTGTATAGCTAAGGCTATAGCAAGCAGCATCTTATCTAGTTCATTATGCATGACATAAGTACAGAGGTCTTGTGAGAGCTGAGGGAGAGAGATTAACATTATTTTGGAAAGCAGAATCTCTTGCCAGCGTTCTGGTGCATGGTCACAGAGAGCTTAATAGTCAAGGGGATTTAAGGACACAATTACTCTGTATTTTAGACTATATTACCTGCTGAACTGACCATTTATGACACAGCGTTTTCAATATATTTTGTTTATTATAAATAAATTAACAATATATTTCAGAATCGATAGTGCAAGCTCAATAGCGCAAATCCATTCCTAAAACTGAGTGTGTGAGTATTTAAATTAGCAGCCATCTTTTACCTTTTATTTCCACCTGGGTCAAAAACACAAGCATCACATGTTATTAGACTGTGCCCTTTAATAAAGCTGCCAGTCATAAGCCTTTCCTCTAAGGACACTACACGCTACATGAAGGAAATCTGTTACATATATTTCTATTACAAAAAAATTAAATAAATTCACATCCATTTGCTCTATTCCCCTGAATTATAATGAAATGAAAAGCCTGGAAAAGGTCCCCTGTGCATTTCTCTATGGTTCAATATTCTTACAGTGATTTCTGTAGGTTTTTTCACTCATTCAGATTTATAGCAAATGTGAGGCACAGTAGTGCAGCAGGTAGCATCACCACCTCACAGCTCCAGGGTCCCTGGTTTGAGCCTGAACTTGGGTTCCTTCTGTGCTCTCTGGTTTGTCCCTGCCTTTTAAAAACATGCCAGTAGGTAGACTGGAGGATTAATGGGTGTGAGTGCATGGTACCCTGCAATGGGTGTCCCATTCAAGGTGCATTCCCAGTTCCTGAAGGCTCTAGACCCAGTGCAACCCTGACCAGAATAAAGCACTTACTGAAAATAAATGAATCTTTTCTACTAAAGAGAACTCTCCCCTTTAATCATGGAATAACAAGCGTGTACTACATTTTGAACTACCTGTGATTTGCTTGATAGAATCAAATTCGGTGTTGTTTATCAATAAAAGTCTGTATTCAAATGAAATGAACCCACATTGGTTTTCTCCTAAACTATTCTGTATATAAAACATACACCTCTTACAAAACAACTGACACACACAACCAAATACATTCTATAAGACAATTGTTTTTGTGTGTGCGCACCACAACCTGTATAAAATGTTTTTCATCTTAATAAAATGTGTCCACAAATTAATATATTAAGGTTAGGTCAAGGTCCGTGGCCAGGAAGTACTCGAATATATTGGCAACTACTGGATTTTAAAATGAGTGAGACACAGAGAAATCAATTGTATTATTCACAGTGGCCACAGGAAGCTAAGCCTGGAGACAAGTGGTAATATTACACCTTACTTTAATCCTGGAATGGAGCATGAAGACATACTGGAGTCACTGGCATTGAGACACGGAAATACCTTTAGCCCATGTCCCCTAAAGTGAATTCTCTAAAAGAATAGCATTGTTCTAGCCAAGTAATTAACTGGAGTCTACATATTAAATATGACATTCTACAGCATAAATGTTGTCTGCTGTAGTTACACAGTTAGTAGCCACAACTTACTTATTTAGCTTGTGGCCTCAAAATATTAAATTGTGGCTTCAATATATTAACTCATGTCCTCATTATATTCATTTATGACCATGCCTTATTAAAAACAACAACTATGTCACCTCAGCGCTCTGTAAAGAGCACTACAGCACTTGTATCACTGTCAGCTTGGTAATATGCAGCTGGTTATGCTCGGATTTCTGCTCACTTACTAACACAGTTACATGGTTCATTTTTGCTGATTATATTTCATATGCATTGCCAAAATAATATGTCACAAATTGTCCTGGGTAACTTTCTGTTTATGTCCCGAATAACACATGATGAATGGTGCTGTTATAGGAAACTAATTCACGCTGGCGTGCTGTGATACCACCTGACATGGATCACTTTCCTACAACAGCACGGCCCTGAAGAGTTATTCCACCTATACCTTAGCAATTTGCCAATGATCACATTTTAAAAAATTAATTAATGAACAAAACATCGATTTTCAATTATTTACATGTAATGGAACATCCACGAGACAAGATAGTTCCTGTTATCGCTTACATTATAGTAGCTAGAACCATTCATTCCCTCACCAACATCTCCTTTTTTTATCCCTCTTGATGACAAAAAAATAAAACACACCTTGTTACTTAGAAACCAGAAAGCATAACCTCCTTTCCTGTGTGAGAAAACTTACTGACTGTTACAAAGCACTGACACCTGGGACTCCTCCTTTAAAAGTTAAATAAGCATCTCCTTACAGAAAACATCACCATATCAACAATTATATATTTTTTACAGCTTCTATCAAAGCAGTCCATATGTACAGGTTGTTATACACTTTAAAACAAGCACAATAACTATCATTTATGTTATAATTGTGCTCTTATAGAAAATGAATCCATACGTTTTGATTTGAGAATTCAACCGTAGTGTGGTGTAAGACATGTTAACACTCAAACATTTCCACAGCAACAAAATGCTTTCACTTAAAACCAATAGCAGCCATTTTACATTTTCCACTTCATGTGGCGGAAATGATCTAGGCCTATATGACTGCATTCCACTGAGCTGCTTATTAATGGCTCTGAGAAGATAAAGAGATCCATAAATTAATACATAGTGTACTGTCTTGATCATGCTGTCTTGATCACCTGCTGAACAAGTCATTCTTCATCCTTACTTCCAAGCTTTTTACCACATACTGACAGATGAAGTGCTCAATTTTTCAAAAGATGTTTGCTTTTGGCAATATGATATTAAAGTCCCTGTTTGATTAAACTGATGTGGTTAGATGAGCAGCAAAATTGCTTCGATGATGAAGTGCCAGGCCTGGAGGACTTTCACACAGAAAGACTTGCCAGCACAGATTTCAACCCAGAGAGTGAAGCATGCCAACTGGAAAGAAATGAATGGAATTTATTGCAAACAGTGTTAATTTTTGATGATACATTTTTAGTACAAACAAGTGACAGCAGCAGTACTTGGACTATACACATACTGTATATGAATATACATCAGGCCATACCAAATGTTATTAAAACCTTAAAACCTCAGAGGTCTCAGATATGAATCGTCTACCTGCAAGGAACAACAGAAATATGTCATGTGTAAGGTGTGATGGGTCCTCAATAATGCTGTTGGCACCTTTGATGCTTGTTTTAAATTATATATAGTGTGTACTGTGTTGTATATGGTGGGGTCCAAAAGTCGGAGAGTACTACTGAAAATGCTTCTATTTTGCATTCTTTTTCTAATTCAGTGATTTTCTTTACTAATTATATTAATGACAATAACTTGAGTGAAAAGTATAGTTTTTTAAACATTTACAGTGGATATAAAAAGTCTACACACACCTGTTAAAATGGCAAATTCTTGTGATAAAAAAAATGAAACCAAGATAAATTATGTCAGAACTTTTCCCACCCTAAATGTGAAACTCCAGCACATGAAAATTAAGTGAAAAACAATCAGAAACATTTTAGGGTAAATAGGAAAAATAAGAAAGTTACAATAACCTGGTTGCATAATTGGGGGTGTGGCTGTGTTCAGAATGAACCAATCACATTCAATCTCATGTTCAAAAGTAATTATCATACAGCTGTCGTCAATGAAATTATTCTGATTAACCCCAAAGAAAGACCAGCTGTTTCTGCAGGATTTTCTTGACATATTCTTGGTTTCATCTGACTGCTGAAGCACTTACAGAGCTTATAAAGACTGTACTGGGTCTCATTGTCAGAAGGTATCAATCAAGAGAGGATTATAAAAGAATTTCCAAACCATTAGATGTACCATAGAACACCATAAAGGCCATCATCAACAAGAGGAGAAAATGGAGCACCACAGTAACATCACCAAGAACAGGAGATCCCTCCAGTATTTACAAAAAGACAAGACAAAACCTACCAGGGAGGCTGTCAAGAGACCTATGGCAACATTAAAGGAGCTGCAGGAATACCTGACAAGTACTGATTACTCTCTGCATGTGACAACAATCTCTTGTATTCTTCTCATGATTGGGCTATGGGGTAGGGTGGCTAGATTAAAGCCCTTTCTCACAAAAAACATCCAAGCCCAAATAAATCACCCCATGTGGCAAATTGTGTTATGGTCTGATGAGACCAATTTCAAAAGGTATAATCATTCCATAATTCCAAAATGGTATGTTTGGTGCAAAAAAAAGCACATCAACAAAAGGACACCATATGGTGGTGGCAGCATCATGCTTTAGGGCTGCTTTTTTTGCACTAAACATACCATTTTGGAATTATGGATTTATTATACCTTTTGAAATTGGAGGGAATCATGAATAGCTACAAATACCAGTCAATTTTAATGCAAAACCTTCAGGTGTCTGCTAGTAAGCTGAAGATGTAAAGGAATTTCACCTTTCAGTATAACAACCCAAACCATAAATCCAAATCAACAAAGGAACGGTTTAATCAAAAGAAGGTCAATGTTTTTGAAAGGCCTAGCTAGAGCCCAGACCTGAATCCAACTAAAAAGGTGAGACAAGATCTGATATTATCTCAGTATCATTCTCTTACTTCACAAAAACCATCAAATCCATCTAAGTGTTGGCTGAACATGTGCTTCAATAGAAGAGATTAGGCATGAGGAAAATCTGACCTTTTGTACAAAGCAGTTGGTTAATAACATCAGATTGCT